CTGCTTTCCTCTCTGCCCCTCGTCCAGCCTCAGCTGAGTCCCAGAATAATTGCATATTAAGACTTTTGGTTAGATTTTTTGATTGATAATCACTCGGTAACTCTTCACTAGTGGCTGCAGTAACTTCATTCCCTCGGCGGTGCCTTCCCCAGCCTGGGTGCAGGGACTCTCTCCAGCTCTGATGAACTCAAGACTGTTCCTAATGTGGATGATGAGTATCTCCTGCAGTTACTTGAGACCTGAGGCAGTGTATTTCTGAAGCAGTAATTGTAAAATGCTATGGGAGTGCAGGACAGTGTGTGTAGATAAAAGTAGATGGTGGGAACATCTTTCCTGAACTGGTTTGTCTGGCTGTGGGGGTGGGAAGGGGATAGGACAGGCTTTTGGCCATGCAGACCCCTCTTCAGACCTCAAGGGTTGGTTTTTTTTTCTGTCTGAAAGCTTGCCTACTATGTAGGGCTGAAAAATATCTCCCCACAAATCTTGTCCTGACGCTGTCCTTAGATTGTCATGGTTACAGCAACGTGCCATCAGAGTACAGAGACTTCTTCATCTTCGGAGCTCCTTGAAGTTGGAAATACTGACTAAAGCTCACTTGTTTGGGTGGGTTTTTTAATCAAAAGGGTTTACTCTCATCCAGCTTCCTTAATCTGAACTCTCCTGTACATGCTGTCTCCTCTGCGTCTCAATTACCTGCCCACAGCACGGGGTAACCAGCAAACTCAGTTCTCTGCCCACTTGCCAGGGATCCAGCAGGGAGAGCTCAGAGGGAGGCAGAGGCAGCCTCAAGACTGGTATTTGTGGGTGTTAACAGCTTTCAACACTGTCTGCATGGCAAGATCTGCTGCATAGGCACCGATTATGTGATACATAATGTATGTGACCCTCGGTAATTTTGCATGTTGGCTGGTTCTTAACGCATTTGAAATAATGAAAGCTCCTCCAAAATAGAAACTAATTACTGGTTCAGTAGTTTTTAGTGTCATTGATTAATCCAAACCGTTGTTCCCTTGGTCTTACTGTTTGCCTTCATGTCCTAGCTGGAGTTAGGATACAGTTTGCCATCTAGTCTCAAATTCCATAGTTCAGGTTTTTATGTGCCTGACATACATGGACAGGCTTCCCTGTCAATGCCATATGTAAACTCAGTTTTTGTCAACCTGACTGCGATGCATGCACAGGTTTTTGCAGTTTTGTTCAGATCTCTGGAAGTTTTAAACTGAGAAAGGCTATTTCTGTGTAGCTTTCCTAGGCACTGTTAAAGATGTGGCTTCTCAGTTGCAGTTTTACTGTGGTGTATTTCTAGATTTCTGCTGTATTGGGTAGATATTTATTTCAGGCAGCCAGCTCTTAGAATTCCTTTTTTGAAAACTATAATTTGAGAAATGTATTAATTATGTATTGCTCCCAGTTAGATTTAAAAAAAAGTTTGTAAGTAATTTTCCTAACTTCTCATTAGTGAACTGAAGCATTAATAATGTAAGCCAATAAATTGCAGAAGAAATAATTATGCGCTTTCTTACAAAAGCTCCAGTATTCCTGTGTGCTCTGTTTCATTATTCCATGCCAGAATAAAGTTTTTGTTCAAGCCCGAGTGGGAAGTAATATTATCAGCTTTTAATTTGGTCATGGAATGTAGTCTACGTAGATGTGTGCAGGGAGAAGCTTGCTTAATTTGAGCTTGGAAAGTAACACTTATTTTGTTTGGCAGACAAGATCATAGATGAAGGACATCTAACCAAAGTGGAAGAAACAAAGCTTTTGAAAGGTTAGACTTCTGGATTATTTAACTGTTTTTGAAGCATGTTTTTTATGTCACTTCAGTGCATGTTCTGTCTTAAACTAGCACTTTGAGTTCTGTTGAATACTCACTTAAGAAAAAATCAATACAATAAAGGGGAGGTATATTGTTTACTGAACTCTGCTCCAAATACTGCTGCAGGGTAAAAAGATTTAAAAGAAACCATTTTTGAAGATATAGTGCATGAAGTGCTAGTCTCAGTTCTGACTGAGTTCATACCTGAATGTGTATTTAAAAAAAAAAAATCAATTTACAAAACTTACTATAGTCTTTAGTGCCTTCATAAATTTCAAACAGGTTTTTGATTTTATTATAGGACTAAATAGAAATAATGCTTGGTCTCATTGCGAGTTTTAAATAAGTGTACTTTAATTTTACTTTTTTCAACTTACATCCGCCTAACTTTAAAATAACTATTAACATTCTAAACGTGCCTTTTCCAAATAAAATATATCTGTGAATCTCTAACTCTTCTTCTGTGTGAAACAAGTAAAACACAAGGAGCTAATTAGAAAAGATTGATCTTATTAAGGAACCTGTCATCCTTATCTTGCAATACCAAAATCGGGAATGCTATGAAGTGTGTAGATCAGTGTTTCATATGTGTCTGATAATGTAAGGTTGTTTGGACTTGTAGGCTTACTCTGCTTTTGTAGCTTTTTATTAATGTCTAGACATCCTCACTCACTTCTTTGCCTTCTGTCCTTCTGCAAAGGGTTATTTTGTTGAAAAAATGTTAGCTTCTTAAAAGTTCTGGTATTTTAGGGACTTTCAGTTTACCTTCTTTTACCTTAATGTATGAAACTGCACCTTTAATTTCTTCCTGTACGGAGAAAGCTATAGACAACATGCCATATTTGGCAGAAGAATGCATACAATAACTGTAACCTAACACTTGCATGCCAGTTATCCTGCGAAGCGGTGAGCTATTTTTAGTGTTTAATATATTCTAACTCATCGAGTAAGTATGATGTCAACACATTTTAATATACTTCATCATTTTGGCTATATTTATTCAGCTCCGTTTTATTGCGGGAAATAGGGACAACTGCTGTGAAATAATACAGTGCAGGAGAGAGTTTTGTACTTAGGACGCTGGCTCCAGAATAGGCAGCAGGTTTCTCAGCCATTTCTCTTTTTGGCTCTTGCTGCTTCAGATGTAGAAACTGATGCATTTTCCTCTCGTGACTAATCTTGTTCCTTGTTTCAGGGGGGAGGAGGATAGGAGGGAGGAAAAAGCCGGTGTATGTGAAAGTGGGTGGGAGGGGGGGAGTATGGGAGGGAGGTGGGGAGACAGAGAATTAGTTCAGCGGTTGGAGCTTGCACTGTTCCTCCCGTTTCTCCCAGAGCAAGCAAGTTGTGTTTCCATGTATGACCAGATATGGTAAAGTTAGTTGGATACAGATACTGCTCAGCTTAGCACTTCTGGATTGGCCACTGCTGTAAACGACATGGGTGAGGTGTTTAGGATATCCTTTTCTTAATACTTTAATGTATTACTTGGTTTAGTAACTATTACAGTTTTAATGGCAGTCTTGTGAGCTTGATTGTGTGTGACACGTGTAAAATGCTTTGTAATGTAAAATCTGTAGGTACTAGTTAAAAGCCTTATTCCTAAAAATAGGGAAGCGCCCCTTTTGTTTTAGGAGAGGACCAGCCCCAAACCTCGAATTATTAACTACTCCAGTCATTGTGGGCTTTGAAGTCTGCTGAGGTCATCTGAGAAATGTTTGGAATAGCTGCCAGGCCCAAACCCCTAATGCACTTTAAGTACACGGGTGCTTTCCCCTTCTCCCTCTGCAGTGATTGCGGTTACATTAAGATAGGAAGAGTCTGGCTCTTGATCACTGCTTTGTTTGTGCTTGCTTCCTTCTGTCTCATGTAGGAGTGGATGTTATTCTGGCACAGAGCAATAGAAACCTTTTGTGTTTGATGAAGAAAACTTCTTTTTCTATTAACTTGTCTGGGTTTTGTCATATTGGTAATTTCCCATTGTCAGTGCACAGATTGTCTACAGTTTCCATTTAACTTCTTTAATTTTAGGGATATTTAGTTCTGTTTGTCTTTTTGATACTTGAAGGCTTGTGTGCATTGTTTCTCCATTAATCCTTTGCTTTTTACATATTTTCACATACTAACCCTAGTGGTATAACACACCTGGTTTATTTATTGCTGTGCATCTTTCTTCCCGTCTTCTGATCCTTTTGTTGCATCTGCAGTATCTGTGTGTGAAGAAATTGTTCATGTTCCCTGTGCTTTTCTGCATATATGGTGGAAGTTAAGTCTGTATACTGGGAATGTTGCAAAGATGCCTTTGTGTATATATGTATACATATATATATTTCTTTACCTGGAACTTGAGACTTAGAGGAAACCTCTGTTAATCTGTGGGTGGGCAGTGATGCTGTCAAACCATGGCTCTGCATAGTCAGCTGAGGAACACTTCATTATGTATAACCTCGCCTGCATATTGATTATGTGGATCACTGGGTTTGCCCACATCAGAGATGGTGTGCCTTTGTTTAATGGACCCACCAAAACTAAACTGGAATGGTTATTTAAAAAAAAAAATCACTCAGCTGCACATAATAATGTGGTGAGGGGTGTACAAACAGGTATTTCATGAAGGCATTTTTTTGGTGGGAAGGACATAGACTGCCTTCTCTTAATGCAATTTGAACTGAAAATTCTTTCTAGAAATTAGTGTATTGATGGATAGGGCTGTGATTCTTTACTGGTTCATACCACACTTTTTTTAACAGTAGAGTATATCCAAGACTTGTTGCCATTATTTGTCCAAAATACTGAATCACAGTTTTATTCTAACAGCACTTTCTTTCTGACTTGTTACAGTATCTGCATTGTTCTAGTTTTCTTTTCTATTTGTTCCCTGATTGAATCAGCTTTTGCGCAGTTCCAACTGGCAAGAACACAGCTTTAACAAAAGTTCAAGCTGTGCATGAGGCAGTTGCATCCCCTGTTAGATGCTGGGCTAGATTAATGACTTCAGTCATGCTGAATCCATTTGAGGCACAAAGAAACAAACAACCACCAGGTTTTTGGTGTGGGTTTTTTTAACTACGTTATTTTCTACTAACACTTAGCAGTAGCTAAATAAATAGATGCACAGAAGAAATTATGGTGAAGAGACTGAACAAAGCATTTACTGATTGTAGTTGATTTTCCTTGTCTTTTTCAGAGAATCAAGCAAGAGTCAAAGAATCTGATTTGTCAGATACTCTTAGTCCAAGCAAGGAAAAAAGCAGCGACGACACTACAGGTGAGTCCTTAACTGAGGTTTCTGTAACACCTAATTAATTTGAATTAAATCACTTAATTATGAGCGTTTTCCAAATGGGTGGAGAAAGTGTGTATTCTGTGGTGCCAGGTACAAGCTTAGAGCAGTATTGTCTGTTGTGTGACTCTACAATTAACTATTGTGAGAAATTAAATGCTCCTCTTTGCTTAAAGGGTGTGTATATGAAAACTGTCTGCAGTTTGACTGCTCCTCAGAGGTGTGTGGGTTTTTTTCAGATGCACAAATGGATGACCAAGATCTAAATGAACCTATTGCTAAAGTAGCTCTTCTAAAAGGTAAACAAATTTATTCCTGTAACTTTAGATGCCTAATCTGTGTGTATATATATCTTTGTCTACCTGGTTTTTATCAAATGTGCATTGGAGTGCTGAAATGCAAATATTTTAATCATGGTAGTATAGAGAAGTTGCATTTAAATGTCAATAAAGATTCCTTTGGGTGATGTGGTAGAAAAGCATACTTCAAAGTGTTAGTATAGAAATAATTTGTGATTAAACCTATTTTCCACACTCACCAACACTGTTGTAGGAATTTATATGTTTCAACTTCAAGTAGAGTTGAGAAGTAGTTTCAGCATACATTTAAGTTAGGGCTGATCACTGCAGGGAGGAGGGATTCTTCCATTGTTGAGATGTTTTAAGCATTGCCAGACTTCCCTTCATACACTGTCAGGAATGCTTCTCTTACTTTGCACATGATGGGTCAAAAAGAAAATTAAAATATCTTTTTAGTTAGCACACTCAAAATTTGAATTTCCTGTTGTAACTGTATCTAGGATTTTTGTGCCTTAGCATCGAGCTTCATAGCTATAAAATGAATTTTTTACTGGTCTTTGCACTGAAGGCTTGATTAGCAAACTGTTATTTACATGCCCGTGAACATGTGAAAAACTTTGTGGGATATTTAGTTATTATATTTGCATACTGAAAGTTTAATTTTACGCTTTCTGTACAGTTAGACATTTGGTAAGATCTGTAAACTGATGCTGATGTTGGCATCACAAGTAAAAATATCACAGTGCTTCATGGTTCAGAAAGGCAGGAAACAATGACAAAATTTAGGAGACCTGTAAAAGAGCTTCTTTCTGTAATTGTTTACATTTCCCTAATTTTGTGACAGAAGGATAATACGTGAAGGCATGTATTGCATGTTTCCAAACAGCAAAGCTAAAACTGATTCTGATATTTTCCGGTGGATATCAGTTCAGCTAAGCAGTTTAGAAAGGAGCATGAGGTACTGAGCATGTTCCATTTGGGTTTTACTCGGATATCTGCCATTAATAGAAGGTAGAATCTGATCACGATGTTCGTAGTGATTATGATAGTCTTATTTTTGGTAGTATATATTTGGGTTTGGCAACAAGTTTTATTTGGGAGGAAAAAATTAATTGGTTGAAAAGCATGATGCTGCTCAAGTGTCAGAACTCTGTCTGGAATGGGATACATGTGAAGGAGTTTTTCTTGTGAGCATCGTCATATGCACAGAATTCACAGCCTGAACAACCCTCTGTGTGTGAACAGCACAGCAGAGAAACTGAATTCAGCCAGCTCCTGTCAAAATTTAGTTAATTCTAATTCTTTTAGTTTTAAGATAGCCAACTGAAGGCTACTCTGAATTGGCTGCCTTTCTTAGTTATCTTCTGCAAACACATTAAAAGTAACCTGTGGACCCCTCAGGCTGAAAACAGAGATTCCTGAATTCTCCTTATATGCCAGTGAAGGTCTGTCAGGAAGGGTTGGGAGGAGGTAAGGCTGCTGTGAGCATGTTGCTTCCGGGGTCACAACTGTCTCCTGTCGCAGCAGAAGTCAGCTGTCGTCGTGCTTCCTCTGTCCGGGGTGGATTAAACAGGGCAGGCAGGGTTATTTGAACTCTCAAATGAGTAAAGTTGTTTTCTGTAGTAACATGGAAGTAGTCTTTCCTAACGTGGATTCATCTGTCGTTACTCAGTTGAAGATTTAAACCATAACATTACTGAACTTCTAAGTGAATAAGTAGGAAAACACCTATTTGGTCAGACAGCTTTGCTATTGAATTGCATATTGCAATTAAATAATTGGAATAACTCTTTCTCTCAAGGCTATTTATGGGCATTCCTATTTTGCTCTCATGAAACCATTAAAAAATATCTGTACACTGAATCATTTGCCCTTGTAATTTTTATGAAGAGCTTATAAACCCGCAGTTTTGTTTGAGGTTTTGTAAGAGAGTTACTCCGTATGCCTGACTTTGCCCTAAAAAGGATCTTATTTGCCACAAAAAGACTTTTAAGTGGATTTGTTATACAGTCATATAATTAAGGAAGAATGACAACATTTCTGATCTGGCAGCTCTTTGGAATGTGGAAACAGCCTCTGGAAAAGGCAGCATTCCCTTTTGTTGAACTGTTGGAATTCACAAAACAAATTAGTAGAACAAGAAAATGATGAGGCTTTTAATTGCTGTAGTTTCCTCCAAGTGTATTTTCTATCAATAACTTTTGAGTACATTCAGGATCTGTTTTGCCTTTCTGCAAGTCAGGTTTTGGCAAAGAGGGGAAAAGGAAAGCTGTCACGGATTAGTAGAACTGCTTCCCCCCC